GTTAATCGACACCCCTTAAATATATGTAGCTCTGACTCTGACCTTTGAAGATATATATAATAACAATATATTAGTGGAATGTACGCAGTCTTACTCCTACGTTACGAAAATACAACAAAACAACACATATTAGCAATTTTAGTGCAAAATTTTTTCTTCGACTACTAAAAAAGCAGCCCACTATATGTTGATTGAATGTTGATCACCAATTCACTATTATGTCAATGGGATTATGGATTTGTTAATTGTAATTTCTCTAATTTGGGTAGTGAAGTTCCAAGTGTTCCGACGTGGCATTCAACATCGTGGTATAGTAATTTAAAATTAGAAAAATAACAGCGTTCGTCAAAAATAATTACAACCGCTAACCACGTATACAAAAAAATATACATAAATTATGTATAACATGTGCATATCATATGTATATACATATGTATATATAAAGAATTAATATACTTTTGTGGTGTATTATTTTGTTGGATGTCTTACAATTAAAATTGACTTTTTTTCAAAAATAAAATATACTGTAAGTCAACTACGTACTACTCCAAATATGTTAAATTAATTAGTTTTTTATTTTATTTTTAAAAGGATAATCTCGTAGACCTTTCTTTCGGTTACACTTTATAATATTTATTTTTTCTATGATTTACGATATTACGTCTATTTTCATTATTTTGATATTTTTTGTAATTATTCTTTAAACATTTTGAAAATAAATATAAATCAATTACGACTTAACAAATTTACCCTTCTTTATATCAATTTTTTCATATTTATCAAATCATAATTATTTTATATTGATTTCTAATAGATTTAAAGAAATATGATTACAAAACAGAAACCAAAGTAAGAGAGATACGTGTAATATCATAAACCACCAACGATGTAAATACTATAGAGCAAAATCTCTAGATAACTCTTTGAAATTATAAAAAGAGAAAGGAAAAAAGATTTTACATATAGAGATAAACTTTGATTGTGATACATCATATATGAATAACAAATAATAATACTATATAGTTTTTTTTTTAAGCCTTGACTGGTGTGCCTAATTTGGATAATATGTATGCATGGGAAATATCACAAATTCAATGACATTGTGGGCTACTTATTACACTTGCATACTACGTAAATTTAAGAGTTTTTTAGCTAAAGTTATTCTTCAATTATGATTCAAATATAATGTACATTTTTATATTATCTAAGTGAGCAAAAAATATTTTTATACTATCTAAAAAATAACAAGAATCATCCTTCAGTCTATTTTTATTAAGAAACTGATTGAATCAAAAAAATATTTTTTTAATTTGATCATGTCTTAATTACGACGAGAAGATCAATGTTACCTGCAAAGAATAAGGATATGGATAGAAAATAAATATTTTATTCTCATAATTTAAATTTTGTGTGTTGTTAGTTTATATGTTTTTAGCATCATCAAGTAATTTGACTTGCAACAATACATAAGTTTTGAATTATTATACAGTAGGTTCCGATGATTAGAAAGATTATGAGAAAAATTCATTTTAAAAATATTATGTGCAACTATTTAGAGATTCTCTTTAATAAAAAATATATATAGCACATATATACTATATATACAATGCAATTCACATTTTATACAATATATAAAAATACTGAAAATTTAGTGAAATTATGTAGGCGTTTTGTTGTGAAAATTAAATAATAATTTACTTTATTTGAAATTTTTGAAGTTGGAGTTGTATTTGGACATATTTTTTACAAAGAATATTTAGAATTTGAATATATTTTGTCTGAATATGATTTAAGCCCTCAATTTCTAAAGATTAAAAAAACCACCCAACTTGACTATCTTAACCATGTATACATATATTCATTCGACCTGACACATTTTTTGTTGGTGGCATGAGTTCCTTAAAAAAAATAGACAAAAGGATGAATCTTGCAACTTTTTGAATAGTGCAAGAATATTTTTTGTTCACTTATATAACACAAGGATGTACTTTAGGTTTAGATCATACTTCAGAAATGATTTTAGGCAAAAACTCTAAATTTAACTTAATAATCAGTATTCAATTGATACATGTTAGCTCTTTCCATTAAAATATAATATACATAATATTCTCAAATTATTCTGCTCAAGATTTGAACTATACATTATTTCATTTTGAAGATATTTGCTTTGAATATTAATTAATTATATCATGAATGAAAGATGGAATGTGAAGTGGACCACAGTATATTATATTATATAATTTCTACTTTCTAGATATATATGCATGCCAGCTATATTAATAGTAAGTATATGGAACAAAATCCAAATGTTAGCATGTTTTAGTGTCGTTCCAAAGTTGATGTAATGGGACAAATATCGTTTCAGATGGATGTCTGGCATTAGCATATGTCCTTCGCGTCGAACAGAAAAGCGAGATTAAAATGATTCAGACATGTGAAAAGGAGATACGAGAATATGTTAGTGAAAAAGTGTAAGAGGCTAACTATAACACGAGTTAGAACATGTAAAAGTATGTCGAGTTGGGGGGGGGGGGAGGGGGGAGGGGGGGATATGACACAATTTTAACTGACTGATGATATAATCCTAGATAGGAAAGTATGGAGGTTGATCGACGATTAGGATAGTTGGGTAGTCATATGTTACCGTAGTTCGAGTAGTATAATTTAGGTATTTAAAAAAATATAAATTTAATAGTAGTATTTATTAAATTGTGGTAATTATCCCCCCCCCCCCCCAAATTGGGTGATGATTAATTGAGTTTGCACGAGTAAAATAAAAAATGTTTTATTTGTTATTATTACACGAACTATTTATTTATATTCCTTAATTCATTTTTATTTTTTCAGTATTTGGAAGTTGGATTTTTACTTTTATTTATCTTCATCAACATATTAGAAAAAAAATAATTTTTTTTCTTATTTTACCTTCAATATTACTTATTTATCAAATCATTTTTTAAGAACTAGAAACAACATACCAATTGATATAAATACTATGATAAAATACTTATATTAGTATAATATTTTTAAAAACGTGTAAAATATATAAAATACTAATTAATAAAAATGAGCGAAGGGAATGTATTTAGTTGTAACAGCATTTTCCAATTTCCAATTTCAAATGGCAAAATGCATTTAGTGATATATGCACCCCTTCAAATAAATAAATGATTTAAGTTACAACCACCAAAAATATCAAATAATTTTGATTTTCGTAGTTAGTATGCATATCTTTTGTTAGTATTTTCTATAATATTAAAAATGAAATACTAAATTTTGTGCATGTTTTTATTATATATTTTCTCTGTTCATTTTACTTCTCCAAAATATTAAATATAGTATGTTCAATTTTATTTGTTCAGTTTAGAAAATTAAGAGATAATTTATCAATTATATCTATTTTATCCTTACTGTTACATACTACTCCCTCCGTCCCATATTAATTGATCATCTTTCTAAAAATATAATTTTCCCATATTAATTGACCACCTTACCGAATTAAGAAAATATTAATTATATTTTTCCTATATTATCCTTGCAATTAATTCCTTTTAAAAGTGTTCACATTTGTTTGTAAAAATTCTAAGAAATTTTTTAAGGGATGAATTAATAAAATTATCTTCTTGTTTATGATTTCTTAATATGCATGCGATTAATTAATATGAGACGGAAGGAATTTTCATTTTTGAAAATATTTAAATGACTAATTCAAGTTCCAACTCCTTAGTTTTTTTTCTTGATTTTAGTTTGCTCTCGTGATTCCTAAAAGGCTAAAACCAATCTTCACTAATAATTGGTCTCCTTAGACAATTTATGTGACTTATTTTTATTTTTTTTAGTTAATCTAAAAAAGAATGAAATATTTCTATTTTAAATAACAATTTAATTATAAAATATCTATTTTACCTTTAGTGAAATGATTTACAGCAACACAAATTTATATCATTCATTTTGGACCACAAATTTTAAAAATCTTCATTTTTTTCCTTAAATCCATGTCAAACTACCTCACATAAAATGGGACCGAGAAAATAGTATTAGTTCATGAATTCTCTACTTTATTATTGTCACTTTCTTTGTGCTTTTATTCTTTATTTCATAATTAACTTTTTGATTCAAGTCCTTTAGTTCTAATCATGCCGTCCGTCTTTCTTGAAACAAGAATATCAAGGAATGATGTTATATAGATGTATAATAGTAAATCCCTCTATAACAACTATAATAACAATAATAATAATATATTCACTAAAATTTTTAAAAAATAATATATGTATGCAATTTTATTTAAAAATAAAAAAGTTGTTTTTAATAGACTGTTGCAATCTTACCATATAAAAATTAGTTTCTATAATCTCCTATTTTCATAATAGTAAACCAAAAATATTTTTAGGATGAAAAGAAAAAAATCATCCGAGTCTAGAGAATTCACTGTGTGCACGTCCTTAAGAAATTCAATCCCCTCAACCTGGGGTTGTGGATTATTTCCTCCAAGGATAAAACAAATATCCCTATTAACGAAGTAACAATACCTCACACTTCAATAACTTTAGTGAACTCAAAACTCAACAATGAAATCACACAAAACCTCTACTTAACCCTTCAGTCAATCACATCATTTGTCAAAATCAAAATGAAACCAAGTGAACGACGACGGCACGAGGGGTGATACCCTCTACTTAACCCTTTAAAAGCCAACTTTCAAGTGTTTTCTAATATAATAACACAATTTTTTTTCTTTCTTCTATTAATGAGAGATTTTTTTTTCTTTCCTACTTAAACCCAACACCGCTCTACCAATTTATTATTAATACAAAGAAAAAGTGGTCATAAATATCAGTCTACCTTACTCAACATACGTAAGCCACACAATCATTTATCTTGTACCTTCCCAGAAGTCTAAAAATCATACACGCCATTTAATTCTCACAATAATGCATGTAATTGTCTCATCAAATAAAGTTTTGTCTATAAATACCAAGAGATGAAGTAGTCATCAATTAAAAGAAAATATTGTACTAGTGTAGTTATATATATATTTATATAACTCCTAGCTAGTTATAAGAAAAAAAAACACACAATAAGAAGAAAATAAAGATATAGTACTATATATTATATCATTATGGAGGACAAAAAAAATAACAAGTCTTCAATGTCCTCTCCCTTGCCGGAAAATGGTGTCTCCGATGAGGAAAAACAGACCTCCGGTAGTGATTCTCCGTCCAAAACACGCCGGAGAAAGCCCGGTGGATGGAGAGCTATGCCTTATGTTCTAGGTGATTATTATTGATCTTTCTTTCAAAAGCTTCTATCTTTTTCTTTTTATAATAATTCTGATATTCGAATCAACTTAGACGCTCAATTATTTAACTTGCACATTTTTTGGTTATTTGATGCCTATTATTTCTCATCCACTCAAGTATGGATAGTGTCAATATATACATAGCTCAAATAAATTCTTTTGTCGAAAAGTTATACTATATAAATAATTAATAATTTTTTTTCTGTTTATAGAAATTATTGATTCACTTGAATAGTTAGGTGTATTAACACTCTCATTACACAAGTTTTGCATTTTTTTTGTCTTTTAACTTTTTAATTAAAATTTATGACTTCAGTGTAGAGTAGCGATAAGTACTTTATCCATCGAAGTTTAAATAGATGAAAAAAATAATCTATTTGTTAAGCTTGAAGCTTTCAAAAACTCTTTGTGAATCTTGATCACACTATTTATATCGATATGATTTATGATAATTAAGCTCAAATTAATCATAATTCATAATTCATACACCTAAATATCTAAGTTTGTTTTTAATGCATACATAGAAAATTTTCAAAATGACAGCTAATAAAATGTTTATTTAAGTGTATACGTTTTTTTATGTGGACATATTTGACTAAGTTGTTAGTTCATTTGTAGGTGAAGTTAATGTTGAGTTATTAATACGTTTTTATTATTTTTGGTAGGAAATGAGACATTTGAGAGATTGGCATCAATAGGGTTGTTGGCAAATTTTATGCAATTTTTATTAGAAGTGTTTCATTTGGACCAAGTTTCTGCCTCCAATGTTCTTAATATATGGGGTGGCGTTACTAATTTCATACCATTACTTGGTGCTTTTATTTGCGATGCATATATTGGTCGATTTTGGACTATTGCTTTTGCCTCCGTTTTCGAAATGATGGTACGTCACGTTTTCTGTCCCTTTCAGACCTCACTAGAATTCTACTGGTATGATTGTTGTTGTTGGTACGTTACGTTTTCTTTAGTGCTCCTTTTTAGTCCATTTTAAATGAATTGGTACGTTACATTTTCTCTAGTGCTCCTTTTAGTCCATATTAAATGAATTGTTGGTATATTACGTTTCTCTGGTATTATCCTTCTGATTATTTTTAAATTATTCTAGAGTAGTTAAGAGCGAGCCTCATTAAATAAAAGGTAAACATGATAAAAAGTCTCAATAATTTTTTTGTTTTGAACTATAAAAAAAGTCTTAACAGATATTATTATTTTCTTAAATTTTCATATTTTTATTTTCAAATGCCCACTTAAAACCTACATAATATGTACTATAAATAATAATAATTAACAAGCAATTCCAATATTTTAAAAAATATTTTTTGACTCTTTAAATAACAACCAGGATATATAAAGTGAAACAATATTTACTTTATATTATTTCTCAAATAATATCTTGCTTTTTTATGCGCTTTCACCAGAAGATAAGGGTATGTACCACTCAATTCATGCACAAAGTGTCCATTTCCCCCCCAAAAAAAGAAAAGAAACTTTGCAATTATTAAAAGTATATACTTTTCAGTTAGGTTGAGACATGACACTAGAATTATTATTAAATTTAATATGCAATTACAAGTTAGCTGTTATTATTATTATTATCAATTAATATTAGTTTAATTATGTAAATATTTATTTATTTTTAGTAATTAATAATTAAGAGTCATTACATAAGGAGACTAGCGTAGACAACATAGTATCCATTCGACATTATATGTAATTAATTTTCTTTTTGATTATTTGACAGGGAATGTTGGCATTAACCATGATACCTTGGTTACCTAAGCTACACCCTCCTCCTTGCAAAATGGGCCAACATGAATGCAAGAAGCCCAACAATTCACAAATGGGCTTTCTAGTAATGGGCCTAGGATGTTTATCCATTGGATCTGCTGGAATAAGGCCTTGTAGTATCCCATTTGGTGTAGACCAATTTGATTCAACAACAGATGAAGGAAGAAAAGGAATTGCTAGTTTCTTTAACTGGTATTACACTTCATTTACATTGGTTTTGATAATTGCAGTTACAGTTGTGGTGTATATTCAAGATTCTGTGAGCTGGGTACTCGGATTCGGTATCCCTACGATACTCATTTTCCTGTCTATCATTTTATTTTTCATCGGGACAAAAGTGTACGTTTATGTCAAGCCTCAAGGAAGCATTTTCTCGAGCTTCATTCAAGTTTTTGTCGCGTCTTACAAGAAACGCAAGCTGATGCTTCCTGATGAATGTGAGAGTAACGGGGTCTTTTATGATCCGTTGCTACCTGAATGGTCCATTGTGAAGAAACTCCCTCTAACCCATAAGTACAGGTAATAATAAATATACTTTACACAATTTTGACTTTAGGTCACTCATTCTATTGAGCCGCTCCATGCACATTAGCAGCAGTTAATACTATTGTTCTATTGATCAACCAGGTGGTTGAACAAAGCAGCTATAGTGATGGAGGATGAAGTGAACACAGATGGTACTTGTTCAAACAAATGGAGACTATGCAGTATCCAGCAAATCGAAGAATTGAAATGCATACTCAAAATAATCCCAATTTGGTCAGCAGGAATTATATGTTTCACAGCGATTGGACAACAGGGCACATTCACAATCTCACGAGCTCTAAAAATGGATCGTCACCTCGGCCCTAATTTCCAGATCCCACCAGGTTCCCTTTCTGTAATATCGATGATCACAGTAGGAATATGGTTACCAGTCTACGATCGATTCATCATGCCATCTGTTACAAAAATAACACGAATCGAAGGTGGGATCACATTGTTACAGAGAATTGGAATTGGGATGGTTTTTTCAATTTTATCAATGGTTGTAGCAGGGATAACTGAAAAGGCAAGAAGAAATTCCGCGATAACTCATAATAGTCCTGATGGGATTGCACCTGTTACAGTCATGTGGTTAGCTCCACAACTAGTATTAATGGGATTCGCCGAGGCTTTTAACATACTTGGACAGATTGAGTTTTACAATAAGGAATTCCCTGAAAATATGAGCAGTGTGGCTAATTCTCTGTTTTCTTGCACAGTTGCTGGTGCAAGTTATATAAGCAGTTTACTAGTGAACCTTTTGCATAATACTACAGGAGGGCATGGACATCCAGATTGGTTAACGAATGATATTAATGAGGGTCGGGTAGACAATTACTACTATCTTATCGCGGGGTTAGGTGTGTTGAATTTGTTCTATTTTCTATACGTTGCTCGTCGATATCAGTATAAGACTAGAATAGTTGTTGATGATGGAATCAAGGGTTATGCTGATGTTCATGAACTTCATGACATGAAGTATTAAGGAATTTGTGCTTAATTAAGTTCATAATTTGTAACTAGTATTTGATTAGCATATATTAGTGGTACTTACTTGATTATAGATAAGAGATGTATGTATAAATATGAGAATAAAGGAGGGAAATTATTAATCTACTTAATGAAAAGTAAGATATGTTTTTTTTTTTCTTTTTATTGGATTTGTGTTTATTGTTTTTTTTTTCTACTCTAAACTTTAGACTATAGTTCGAAAATGCTACCGAACACAGAAAAAACATTTCCAAAAAAATGTATGAACTAGAGTAACATTTTACGAGTGGGGTTTAAGAGAGATAGTGTGTACGTAGCTTTACTCTTCCGTTGTGAATGTAGAAGGGATATATTCGGCTCAAGTAAAACATATAAAAAATCAAGTATGTAAAGCAAATGTATATGGTGACAAAAAAGTCATACTGAAAATAATGAAGAAGAAAACAATAGTAATAGCAAAATAGATTCTCACCGAAATACTGAAAAGCTTCCTAATTTTTTCAACGTACAAAAACACTACTATTTTTTTCCATCACCTATTCAATTAAAATATCTATAAAAATAATCACTAAATACTTTTCAGGAAATTTCTAACAAGAAATATTTTTTATTTTTAGTAATGGCCACAACAATTGATTGATTTGGTATTTTTGCTTTACAGTGCTGATCACTCATTTCACACGACTCACTTAGGATAAGAATTGAGTGTAGAAAAATTAACTTTACTAAGTTTTATGACTTAATAAGTACTAACTTAAAAAATTCTAACAAAATACGTGAGATTTTTACTTATTTTTGTATTATCATAAAAAAGAAAAAATTAAATATATTGACCAATCGAACATGACTCGACAACTCACAAATCTTGGGAAGAAACAACTTGCCAAATGCTTTTTTAATTTTCAAGGAAGTAATATTTTAACGTAAGGAAATTCCCACTTAATTAATTTCTATTTGAAAATTGTAATTTAAGGAAAAGATAACGAATTAATCACATTTTTATTTGATGATTAATAGAGACGAAATGAAAGCTAATCAATCAGTTACGTAGGAATTCTAAAGATTTTCCTGTTTTTAAGGGATTGAATTTTAATGAAGAAAGCTTTAATTTACTCCTAAAAAATCATATAAATATTATTTTAGATACAAATTATCAGTACACAGATGCAAGAAGCTTAGATGTTAAGTAATAGTAATAATATAAACATTAACTAAGAACATTTTTAATTTTTCATTCGATGTTCAGTATCTATTAAAGTTTTATTAATTTAGATTTGCATCATGTAGAGCCGAGGGAAGCATTTGGTGTCAATTTTTTTTTTTCATACACAAAACTAAATTAAAAAAAAAAAGTGTCATCCACTAAACAACATCCTTCTTTTTGATATCAAGACAGAAGAACAAAAAGTATTGATAATGATACCATAACAAATATTGGAAAAAAAGAAAAGAGAAAAGAGATCAAACAATATCATGTTCACATTTAAATGATTAATACTAGTAGTAAATTTAGATGATATCGTGACGTGTATCCAAACCAAATTTTACATGAATGAGACTATCACTATACAATAATTTGTTTGTTTACGTTTACGGTACAATGTTAAGATGAAAATGTGGTAGGATGGATATAATGCTCAATTTTTCATGAGTAAATTTTAGGTTTAGAAACATAAAAATCATATTTGTATGCTATATTTATAGTTTGCATAATTGCGCTTCATAGCAAATTTTATGTTTGCTATGAAGCATCAAATTTGTATAAATCGCTGGCAGACCTCTCATTTGTATAAAAGCGCAGCGATTGTATATGTATATCGGTTAGATAATTGTATATATGAACCTACTATGTATATGTATCAATGATTGTGTTTGTATATCTGCATAAAATTTGAATTTGTATATAATTAAATCGAAATAAAATATTTGTATATCAAATCTCTCTCTCGCTTTATACAACACAAATTAACATTGTAATTTGTATAATTTGTGTTTGTATAAAGCGAGAAAGAGAGAAAGGCAAAAGAGAACTGGTAGAGAAAGATCTGTATAATTTGTATAATTATAAGTGTATAGGACGAAAATATATGTATTTATATTTGTATATACAATTTTCTCTCGCTTTATTCAAACACATTTTATACATTTGTGTTTGTATAAAGTGAGAGAGGCGAGCGAATCTGGGAGAGTGGCGAGCGAGATTCTCTGGGGAGAGAGGCAAATGGCAAGTGTTTGCTATGGATTACAATTAAATGAAATTGTGGTTATATCATTTAATTTGAATTAATAGTTTGCTATTTTATACAATTCTTCCATTTTAAATTAGGGGCTCGATTTCGAATTTTGAAAATGATTTTTTTTTAAGAAGAATGCTTTCTTTCTTTAATAAATTTTATACGATACAAATGTAAATTGTTTAAAGTCTTAAGGAGGGTATTGAACACTCAAGTGAAATATAAAAATAATAAAATTATCGGCATTTTTTTTTTACATCTCATCAACATATAATTTATAATTTAATTTCTTTGTCTCAAATTATTCGTCGTGATTTTTTAAAATAGTTATTTCAAAGTATTTTTCATTTAAAAAGGTTAAGATGAAATTAGTTATTATTTTCCCATTTTATCTTTGATCTTAATTGTTCCCCAAGTCTACAAATATTTTAATGATAGGATGATGACATATAAACAAAAAAAAATATTTAATGAAGAAAAACCATATTTTAAGACAAAAGTAAAAGTAAAATATCAAAAAACAAATTAATTAATATTTTTTAAAACGCATCTAAAACGATAAATAATTTGAGTGTAAAGGTGTACTTTGTAGTAATTTGAACTATAAGCTATAGCTTAATTTTGACAGAATGTTATGAGTTCGATTCCCAAAGAAACATATTGCATGAGATAGGTGTTGGGAGGAGAATTGTTGGGTAATATCAACCTCTGCATAAGGGGGGTTGGAAGTATCCCAAGTCGAAATCGTGATCGAACATAGTGTTTGCTTGGTTAATTTAATTAAAAATTAAAAAGTTACATTCTTACTATCAACTAGAGTATAGTTTTTGACATAATAATAATAAGCATTTGATCCTAACACGTATCGTCTAAAATCATAATGCTTTGACTTAAAGGAAAGATGTACTTTTGTTTATTGTATTTGGCATTGTTAGTAATTCCAAATATATTCTTCCCACTAAGTTTTTCACTTAGAATTCTCATACCACCCCACTTTATGAACTAACCAATAAAAATGGAATTATTTTTTTCTAGTGGCTTAATTAGCTTTCATAGTTCCATTAAATTTGGACCACTGAAAATGAAATCTTTGACTTTTTTTGTCATTATTTACTTGTTTTTAGAATATATATATATTTATATGTCAAAATATCAAATTCCAGTAGGAGGTTTTTAACTGTTATTGTGTATTTTAATTTTCTTGAAAAATTGGCAATCATATATATATATATATATATGATTGGGTTAATAAGGCCTGCACATGATGACACTTATAATTGCTACGCTGTTTTCCAATTATAATGACAAAGATTGATGTTACATAACATCTTTTTGGTATATAGTGTGAGGGGCGGAGTTAGTATGTTGGTTACAATTTTGATGAATTTAATAATTTTGATTCAAATTTTGAATTTGTAGTAAGCAATTGAATATGTACATATTATTAATTTAGAACGTCTCATTAATTTTAAAGAATTAGAATTTTCTCATAAACTTCAAATTTTGACTCTAGATTGTGTATATGAGTGGTCAAGTTAATTAAATAGTGATTTGTCTTCCGGTAATAGAGCTTTTTTTTAAAAAAAGTAAATTGATAAATAGACTATTGTATAATAATTTAGTGGTTCAATTAATTTAAATTTACATAAACTCACATTCGAAACGTTTGATCAGACACCCAAGAGCTACACCATAAAAGATGAATTTCTTGTTTGTATTTTGCGTATGAAATCAAGTTAATTAAATGGAGATTTCTTTGACCGGGTTGTAACATATTATACTTGTTTTTATTTTTATTTTTTCATTTACAATTTATATCACATAAAATTTACTAAGAAAGAAAATGCTCCTTATTAAAGTTTCTTCATTAGAATGACTTGAATATGAAATATTTGATTAAAAATATAATGATTTTATTCATCCCGCCACACACTTTTAGACATCTATAATTGACTGGTAACATTATAGACGTCTACAAGTTTAAGCAGTCAATATAATTAAACTCATAATAGAAAATTATCTTTTTCTTGTTTGTGTACTTAAAGGGAAAGTGTCATTTGTTTGAAAGAGACAAACCCTATAACAATGGGCCCTAGAATTGTGATAGTAATATCGACCATAATTTAGGGTGCAAAAAAACAATTGATTATTTGTCACGGGGTTTTAGGGGAGTGTATATATCAAATTTTCAATTTTTTTAAAAACCAATCTAATTTTATTAGCATTAAATTATAATTACTTAATGGACCCATATATTAATGAAGAATCTATACTTAATTTCTCGGCATTTTTTTTTCTAGGTCAATATCTGCATTGAAACTCGATTAGATTAGGAGTCATGTTCCTTAACAAGGGCTATTCATACCCAAAATTTGAATATGAGACTTCTAATTAAAAATGCATAAATACTTATCACATTATTTTCTTACGAGAAAAAGATTAAAGTATTTTTCTATTGAGAAGATGAAATTATAAAGGTTAATAGTAGCTAAAGTGATGTTTGGGTTACCAGTGTTTTTGTTTAGAAAAAAAAAACCATTTCTGGTAGGCCAGAGATGACAAAGGCCTAGAGCAACTAAGAAGAAAGCCCACAAAAAGGAATCTAGGCCCAAATGAGATGTATTTGCCTCAATCCAAGCAAGAAATTGCTCAAGGTGTCACCCAGTGTTTTCAAAAACGTTTTTTGGGGCGAGTCTCGGGGCAGGCGTACCAAAAAATGCTTCAGGGTGCAAATTAAAGACGTAGATTCATAGAGAGTAAGTCCTAGAATTTGGGGCATAAGCTCCAAGCGTAAAA